CGAGAAAACTGCACAAGAAATTTGCCTTATTTACACGTATCGGCAATGCAAGCTGCCATGCGACTTCCCCTTCTGACGTCACAAGGGGAATTTCTGTATGCAAATAAGAAGCTAATGAGGAGCCTCGTTTTAAAATACACAAAAATAAGTTGCTGTAGATTGAGTTAAAACACATTTTTTCACTTAAAAGCCGAAATTGGGGGTGCGGTTCCTATTAGGTATGCGGTTTATAATAGGATTTTAACGGTACTGCCATTCACCAAGCAGTTTAGTAGTTTGGTTGTGATTGAACTTTTAGCATTTTTAGATTAAACACACACAGGATTCTCTGAAGATCGAAAATGGACTATACAAAATCAATATTCCATTAAGATACATGCCGAGATACATGCCAGACTCTTGCGTTGTACAGGCAATATAAGCCCCTCCCATTTGAATTAACAGGATTATTTTACTCAAAATACCACTACACATATCAGAGGGAATTTGAACATTGAACACTTCCATAGCTAGTTGTGTTTAGCGCATATCTGAAGCAGAACAGTAATGCATGACATGATGATTTATTGTAGTGCAGACAATAAATAACTCAATATATAAACAGCCTACATAACCCTAACCAGGTTTAGATCAGTAAAACCCGCCAACTCTGTAACTCTCAATTTGATTTGATCACACACAAAAAATGCTTTGTTCTTTCATATCACATGTTATACTTGAAATACATCTTTCATATAAACACAATAAAATAACACGTTTTTTGATGGACTGTGTTTGTGGGACAGAATGAGAGGGCAAATCTGAGGAACAGTTACTAGAATAACAAATTCTAGACTAATAAAACCATTCGCATAAATGTAATATCTTTTTAAATGGCCACATGCACAGCTCAAACACAACACTGACACAACAAATGCATTTGAAGAACACATCAGGATCCTACCTCTGTCGCATAAAGAATTTCAACAATTTTTTGAAGTCCTGGATGGTTTTCTTCTTCATGCTGCTGACAGATGATTTCAATTTGACGAAGCTTGCTGAAGTAGAAATCCCTCTCCTTCTCTAAGCCATCCACAGTGAGTTTAACTTCAAGTAACTGCATAATTTAAACATTAATTAATAAACATTTATTCATTAGCCGACTTGTGAATGAATATGTGATAGATGTAATAGAGTAGAAGCCTTGAAGGGCGAAATGAATAAGTGTCCAAAATTGTGATGGATTTGTGAAAATTGAAAGTGACCAGGCCGGGCATGTTTGATACACAGGTGAAGATGTACAGATAAATGAATGCACAAACGTCAAAACACAAGTTCATATTTTCAGACTTCGAACAAATTTGCCAAAAAATCTACCCTAATCAGGTTCAGGGCAAAATGGAACACAAAATAGTAATATGGACAATAAGAGTATTATTTTATATACCTGTTGATTAAGTTCTGCAACCTGGTTATTGTTATTCATTGATGATGTTGCACTGGTTCTTGTTGCTCCTCTAGATACTGGAGATTTAAAATGAGGAGCTTCAAACAAAAGAAACCAAGATAGACAAGTCAAATTTTATGTATTTGTTCTCTCAGAAGCTTGGCACAATAATTAGTTTCTACAAGTACCACAATCATTTTTTCCCCCGTGACTGGCTATTTGAACGCCCAACCAAAAAATAATTTATAAACCAAATTTTGTATGCATTTTGATCAGAGCAGTGTCTAAAGTTATTAAGAAATCATGCATTACCCCAACTTTTATTAATTCACTTTTAATGGCTTAAGACAAATCTAGTCCATGGCCTTTGTGATAACTGACATAGCTTGACTTTAATACAGCTGAGGATACTTGTACAATTATATCAAGACAAAACAAAACCAGTTAATTAACATGACACAGATATTGTTGTGCTTTAGTAAACAAAAGTGAAACCAATCAGCCATTTTAAATCAGATTTTTGAAGTTTGATTTGAAGTGATTCTAGAGTGCTGGAAATACTTCATTTTGATTGTTTTAATTTAAAATAAATGGCATTTGGTTATCTTGAATGTGAAACAAAAGTACATGTACACATATATATGTGACATAATGTACGAGTTATGAGTGAAGTTTGAAAATGATTGGTCTAGACTTGTCAGATACTGCCCTGTAAGTGTTTTCATTAAAACAAAATTGGTCACCAGTCAAAATTTTGAAGCCGATCTACAAAAAGTGATGTGAGGGTGATCAAAGTCTCACAAGTCGCAATATTTTCAAATTTAATTGCTTTCCATCATGTTTCAGCTTCCAATTGATTGTACAATTCCCACACTAAAACTTTTGAAATTGAATTACTGCAGGCCATAGTAATTTAATACAAGACATACAGTGAACCCTCGCTAGGTTGATGGCTTCCAAAAATTCTATTGTGTTTTACCGAAAGTTATGAAGAAAAAGAACTAATATTTCACTGCATCATGTATTTAATTGGCTGTTAAAGACTCGTAGGAGACAACACCTACTGGTCGTCAAATACAGAGATACAAAGGGTGACGGCGGCCTGACTGGACGGGTTATGACTTAACGTACTTCTCAGACCGGCCCCTTTCGATAAAGCTCCATAAAACTCGCTACAATGAGTTAAATCCATGCAGACATGGATGGTGTGACGCAACGAGTTATGCCAATTAACTGGCGTGTCATTGACGCAGTAGAAAATCATACATTTGATATAATGATCTTAAAAAACATCTTACAAGTTATGGATTAGTAATTTGGCAAAACGCAATTCACATTTGAAATAAGTGAAAAAACGAAGGTTATTTGGGGCCACAACATTCTTGTCACATACAATTTTCTTCTTCTTGAAGAACGATCTCCCAGCAATCAACAAGCAGACTCAACTTGATTTTTGGAGATTCCGTTTTGACTCTGAATTGCTAAAAATCAGTCCTTTCAGAAGACACACTCAAGCTCTGTGAATGAATGATCCGAGTGCAACTTTGAAACACAGGCCCTTTTAATATAGACTGGTCTTGAAATAGTGACAAGTTGAGGTGCGAACTACTGTAAAATCTGTATTAAAAGCCGCGGCTTCTATTAAAATGGTACAATGCAGCATAGGGGATGCGGCTTCTATTAGAGCATCTACACATATGAAAAATAGTGAATTTTTGGGTCTCAATTGTTCAGAAAGAATGGTTGTGGTTTCTAATACAGATTTTACAGTACTTCACAATATCAGAAGAGCTTGAACTTAGATTAATATCATCTGCTAAGTTCATGAGGAATTTTTATTTTTTTTTATTTTAATATCTCCCTTCACAATCCACAGTTGATTTCTTCAGGCAGTTACATGTTCTTTACATGTTAATACAGTTTCAGTCATTCTTTGAAAGATATTGTTTATGTAAATGTTGGTGCACTGGTGTAAGTTATTATCAACATTGCCAGTACATGTACAGCAATTGCTTCGAATGTTATTGAAGTTGTTTTGCTACAATAAAGATTGTTTTGATACATTCGAGACACACCCAGACTTCACGTCGCCAAAAATCGGACCACGCACTGAATGTAGCATTCACAGTCATGTTGCGGTAATCGCGTGTATGGTCATTGAGAGACTGAAGACGCATTTGGAAATCATGTTTTATCTGAAGAGAGTTGCATCATTTTAGACAACTGCGAGTTTCATCATGGCCGTCATGTCAAACCAGTACTGCAAGAGTTGTCTTGTCAACAAGGGGTTGAACTTTTGTTTCAACCACCTTATAGTCCACAGTTCAACGTATGTGAACTGTTTGCGTTATTTAAAGGTGTAGCTGGAAGATAACTAGGAGTACATGTACAATTTCACTGAACTTGCCATTATGGATGTTCTGGTTAACATTGGACAGGGTGCATGCTTTCGACTTTGGCTAACATCCTTTGAAAAAGAACTACCATATCGTATGCGTGTGAGTATGTCTGTGTATAAATTTGTGTGTAATGTATCAAAACAAAATTATTGTAGCAAAATAAATTCAATAACACTCGGAGCAATCGCTGTACATATAATAGCCATGTTGATAATAACATTTACATAAATATTATCGTTCAAAGAATGACGAGAACAATAGTAATAAGTAATATACAATACTTGTCTTTTTATCAAAAAAAAATTATTTATTTATCTACAATGAGCTGTTTCAAGACTGGCCTATAGGAGGAACTGTGATTAAACAAGCTCTTAATAGAGTATTGTTTTCAAGTACATCAAGAGATCTCAAAATAACAATATACTACGATACACAAGAATATTAGTAAAGTGCATGCAACAGACTTACCACAATGACTACAACAAAAGAGTTGAGATAGTTAGTGTTATAACATACTTTTAGGATTACCTGCAGTTCCAACAGGTTTTCTGCTAGCCATGGACCTCGTATCACCCCCTGCAGGCTGCTGCCCACCACGAGCTTCAATCGGGTCGTAATCATCACCCTTATAGTTTGCATCAAAAAACTTTTTAAACCACTGAACAAACTCAAAATTGTCTTGAAACCTGCCTTTTACAAGTCTTTCCACTGGAATAACCTTTTGAATGAAGAATATGTTTCATATTAATTTGAACCAAAAGCTAGTTAGGCTTTATATACACAACAAATCAAATGCAGGATTGACAATGTCATGCACAAATTTTAATTTTTCTGCAATTTGTCAGTGATTCTATAATTCAGTTTTTCCTGCTTTGGTATACATACATGTACTCAATATAAACAAATGACTTCTGACAATATGTATTTCTATCATATATACAGAACAGTATTTTTCAAACACCTAGGCCTGTGCTGAGTAGTTCTTGGTGGTTGTACAGACACCCAGAACTCACAGACAGACAGACATCTATAAACTATGAGGACAACACTTACCTTATCAACCCCTGTTTTCTTGAAGGAATTCTGTAACAGTTTGTAATTATTAATGTATTCGTGTTCCAATTTAGCTAGGATTTTGACTTTTTTCAAAACTATAGAACTAGGAAATAACATGTCCATAAACTGGCAGTAGGCAACACCTATAGAAAATTTAAAAAATGGATACAGAGTGTCACCCAATCTGATTAAAATCTGATGTAGTGTACAGGCTTTAATTATTTTGGCTATAAACTTATTTTAATTTTATTTTTTATTACTTTTGTTATTAATGCCCTTTTATTTTATTTTATTTTATTTTATTATTTTACTTCGATTTTGATTTTGTGAGTTTTTTAATTCCGCCCTACCTACATCTGAGCCGATGCCTATGTAACTAGATTTCAACGAGACCCACTATCGACGATTTTAGTCAACGAATCACAGACCTCATTCTATAGCGCACATGATGACGTCACCAGGTGGAGTTGGGTGGCAAACACTCAAATAAAAATAAAATGGTGGGTTATACCGACGTTAGCGACTGAGAATAACACTGCTTTACGGTAAGTTTATCATTGTCAAATGCAACGAAAGTCATTTTTATGTTAATATTGTGGCTCGAATGGTTCGACTTTAGATCGTTATTTTGCATAGTTATTCTGGAAGTGACGATTTTGTTTCCACCGTTTCGACCGAACACCAGTGTCTTTTTCCAGTCGCCTGCCCTGGAGACAGGTGATGTTTTGTTGACGATCGGGCCAACATCGTCTACGGTATTGAAGCCGTAGCTGTAAATATTCATCAAATTGTATCAACATTTTGTACATTATACAATAACTCTTTATTAAAGTAATTGAGCTGATTTGGACTGGAATAAAATATTTTTTATTTGGAACACATCGCAATTGATCAGGAAATATTTATTTGCTCCAATTTTCTGCGTCGATG